TTTAAATATATTTCTTGTTTATCAGGCGATTCAAAATGGGAAAAACGGCAAAACACGTAGAGTGGTCCACTCTGAGTTTTCCTAGTTTTCCTAGTTCCTAGTTTTCCACAAAAGTTTTCCTATCTCCCAAACGCATTTAACTAAGGGGCTGTTCATAAACTACGTAGACGCTTTAGGGAGGTGGGAGCGCTTGGCAGGTGTCTACGGTCCATACAATTTTTTAAATTTTGTGTTTGAGACTGTCTTCTACTGAAGGGGGGGGGGGGGTTGAAATCTCTCAAAAACCGTCTACGTAGTTTATGAACAGCCCATACAAAAAATAATATGGACTGCAAGCATAGAGTCAGGTCTCCGTATTAAGATTTACTTCTGAATGATTTTTTTTTATGGTATGATCAGTTGTTTCCTTATGTTATATTATATTTCCTCCGTTACTCGCGCCAACTTTTGTAGCACGAGTACTCACGCGTTGTACTTTGTACAACAGTGTGAGTTTTCCATTTCCATTTTGCAGCCGAGCTACCAATCAATCTGAAATCAACGAGTATTCCTCAAAAACTTGTTTTTAACTAAACAAGCTAAATATTTATTACAGTCAACCCCCAAAATATGTGGATAATAGAGAAAATGTAAATGGAAACCGCGTAAATGGTGTCCATACTACGAAGGTTCTGACTTAATTGGTTACAACATGGAATATCTCGAGATCCTGACCAGATAGAAAGTTACTGTCTTTGCCAAAGTAGTTCTAGAGATCATAACCTTTTTGCTGGTGGACAGTAGTTCAAAATTTACTCACTACATAGCGCTAGTATACATGTGAAGTTCTCGCATGTGATATATCTTGAAATCCTGACCAGATAGAAAGTTACTGTCTTCGAAAAAGTTGTTCAGGAGTTCAAAGCCTATAGTTCAGAATTTTTTCACTATATGGTGCTAGTATATACGTGAAATTTTTATATAAAATATCTCGAAATCCTGATCATATAAAAAGTTACTGTCTTCGGCAAAGTTGTTCAGGAAGTCAAGGCCTTTTTGCTGGTGGACTTAAGTTCAGAGTTTTCTCACTTTGCAACGCTAGTATACATGAGGAATTCTCGCATATAAAATATCTCTAGATCCTGACCAGACAGAAAGTTACTGTCTTCGGCAAAGTTGTTCAGGATGTTAGGATCTTTTCGTTGGTGTACAGTAATTCAGAATTTTCCCTTTACGTGGCACTAGTATGCGGGTCATTCAGAGATATTTTATATGCAAGGATTTCACATGTCTTTCAACGTCACTTAGTGAGAAAATTATGTACTTTCCACCAACGATAGGGTTTGATCTCCTGGACAACTTTGCCGATTACAGTACATTTTTAGCAGGTCTTGAGATATATCATATGCGAGAATTGCACGTATATACTAGTACCATGAAGTGAAATATTCTGAACTACCGTCCATTAGCCAAAAGGCCTTGATCCCCTGAACAATTTTGCCCAAAACAGTAATATTCTATCTTGTCATGCTCTCTAGATATTTTATATGAGAGAATTTAACGTGTATACTAGAACTACATAGTGAGAAAATTCTGAACTATTCTACACCAAGCAATAGGCTTTGACCTCCTGAACAACTTTTTCAAAGACAGTAACTTTCTATTTGGTCAGGATCTCGAGATATATCATATGCGAGAAGTGTATATGTATACAAACGCCACGTGGTGAGAAAATTCTGAACTACTGTCTACCAGTCGAAAAGTCTTGACCCCCTGAACAAGTTTGCCCAATACAGTAACTTTCTAGCTGGTCAAGAACTCGAGCTATTGTATATGCGAGAATTACACGTATATACTAGCGCCTCGTAGTGTGAAATTTCTGAACTACTCCACCAATGAAAAGAGCTTGACTTCCTGAACAACTTTGCTGAAGGCATTTACTTTCTATCTGGTCAGGATCTAGAGATATTTTATACACGAGAATTTCACATGTATACTAGCACCACGAAGTGAGATAATTCTGAACTATTGTACACTAAGAAATAGGCATTGACCTCCTGAACAACTTTGCCCAAGACAGTAACTTTCTATCTGGTCAGGATCTCGAGATATTCCATGTTGTAACCAATTAAGTCAATCCCACGTAGTATGGACACCGTTTACGCGGTTTCCATTTACATTTTCCCTATTATCCGCATTTTGGGGGTTAATTGTAATCAAAGTTTAGCTTTTTTAGTTAAAAACAAGTTTTTTGAGGAATACAAGTTGGTTTCAGATCGATTGGCAGCAACAAAATGGCAATGGAAAACTCATATGTGTTGTACAAAGTACAACAGCGCGAGTAACGGGGGGTTAACTTTTATGCATACCGTTAAACGGGGTGTAATTGATCAGCGGGGCAAAATTGATCGCTGAAATTTCTCGTGATATTTTTTCATGTGTAACATGTTTTTCGTTACTAAGCGTTCGAATGTATCTTTGTATACATTGTAAAAATATTATGCATAAGTACAATATTGGGTATACTCAGCGATCAAATTCACCCCGCTGATCAATTTCACCCCGTTTTACGGCACCTTCTTTGAAAATTTTCCCACCTAGACGGACCTAACAAATGCGAGATAGGAAGAAGTGACCGTCGTAATTAATTTTAGGCTCATAGGTTGAAAGAACTTCAGCATGTCCAAAATATATTCGTTCCCATTCAGTGTGTCCAAAATATATTATGGACACTGTCCAAAATCAAGTGGAAGGGTCCAAAATATGTGAATATCATGATGTGAAAAGAATTATTTTTCGAGTATATATCAATAAATAAAACATCTAGTGACATTTTACATCCAAGATGAGTAGCTTTCGAACACAACCGCATGTAAATTGCATAATAATAATAAACAAATAACATTATTTTGACATAAACGTGATCTCACTTCCTCTAGGGGTCCAAAATCAGTTGGTTACCCTCGTATCTCAGTGACATTGTCGCACTCTAAACCTACATTTAAAGTTATTTTGTGATTATATGGTTACTTGGGTACTCACATAAAATGTTGCGCAAGTACCACAAGTTCAACAACGCCCAACTATGGACGTAATGTGGGCCATCACGGTAATGTGGGCCATCAGAGTAGTTCATCGGTTGCGAAGTGAAGTACTTCTCAAACTGACAAGATACATTTCTAAATGTTTGAACCAAGTCCCCGACAAGGTGACTGATAACCTAAGTTTCACGTACCCATTAGCAAATCGTAGATGTCGCGACACAACGTAAACAAAGGGATTGTCCTTCACCAACAAAACGGTATTTCTCTATGGGAAATCAACTTTTTGTTTCACCATGTGTGGACGTCAAACACCAGGCAAGAATGCGAATTTATAATTTTCGTGGTGAAATTAATAAATCCATACCAGGACTGGAAAGAGCGTTAGCAATGCAACTTTGTGCATGAATCTCACAACACTCGACAAAGAGTGTGTGGTTTTCCCATTTACTTCGCACACTCTTTTTTAACTAACCTGTGAGAAAGCGATCCACCCATTGAGCGGTACACTCAGTGCGGCGCAGCGAGCGAATATAATACAACAAGCGCTAATGTCTTCTTTGAATTATTTGTAGACTTTGATTACCACGACTGCATGCATAGGAGATGAAGAAGGGCATAACGTAGAAGAATTTTGTCTTTTTGCTGGGTTTCCCATTTGCAACCCTACACAGAGTGGCGCTCTTTGCGTCGGAGCCGTCGAAGCGATGGCTACACATTGAGCTTTCGTTATTTCTGGGTGTGTGTTTGTCTTCTCTTCTCCGCTGCTTTACACTTGCGCAGGGTGAAAAACAAGCCAACTTTGTGTTTGCTTGATTCTCACTTTGTATGTTTCAGAAAATCAGTACATTGCGCGCATTGAGTGATCAGATGACAGCCCTGATCCATACAAATTGAACCGATTGATTGAGTTTCATCATCTTGTATCATCGAATTGCAATACAAATACTTTGGTTTCTTCAGTTATATTTTGCTCTTGAAATTGATCAGCCTTCAGCTTATTGCTTTGAGCATAGCTGTGCGATGAAGGCTTGCCACGGACCGAATGAATTAAAAAACGTTTACTTTCCCGTGTTTCTCTTACGGGGTAAATAAAGTAAGAAGTTTGAGAGGCTGAAATTGAAAATTAGTCAAATTTAATAAAATACAACATACATATTTAGCTTAAATGCGTCTTGGACAAAGTTTGATTGTGGGTGTCAATATTTTCTCTCAATTTCCTTGCTTTTTTACTACCGTTAGATTAGGTGCGTTGTTGTCGAGATTAAATTTCATGTAATTATACATCTATATGAACATTATGCCATCTTGAATATACTTGGTTCATGGGTTATGAAAGTACATGATAACCGGGAAAATCCGAAAGCTTGAATAAAATTAATAAAAAATGGGATTGTCAATTTTTTAGGAAAACTTTGGAAAATGTACAACCCTATTTTTTGTATTTTTTTTCGTCTCGTATGATCATAAACTCTACCTGTTGATGAAAAACAATTCTGAGAACCTAATGCTCCTTTCCTTCCGATAGAAAACAGAATCGCTTAACGTCAACGACAAGACGTTCAAAAGATTGTTACGGTTCTTCATTGCTTGTAAAAATTTGCTTTGTGTAACATAATAGAAAACCATAACGAATTAGCCAAGCTAACAATTTCAGACTTAACACATAAAGCAGTTTCAATACGGTTCGGAAGGTAATACAAATATAAACATCGTCTTCAGTCGCAAAAACAGATTTATTCAACATTATCGTGTAACATATTTGGCGGTGATGGTTGAGTTAGTTCAGGTCTACCATTTCGAACTTATTCCACCTGAGTGATGGAAACTTCTGAGTAATCTGGCAATCCTTGTGTTTACCAAGCGTGGTGAGCGCTAGAATCCTGGAAGTGCGAAACCGAGGATTCTGGTGCATAGCTCAGAGTTTTGGCGGCAACAACTGGAGCAGAATGGGCGTACAAGGGCTGGGCGGTCTTGACGTAGGTCGGCTGCTGGACAATGGTCTTGGTGTAGACGGGCTCGGAGGCATAGGTCTTGGCGTAGACGGGCTCAGAGGCATAGGTCTTGGCGTAGACTGGCTCAGAAGCGTAGGTCTTGGCATATACTGGTGCAGAAGCGTAGGTGTTGGCGTAAATTGGCTCGGATACGTAGGTCTTGGAAGCTGGAATGATATTCTTGACGATCGGGGCTTGGTATGCCAGAGTCTTGGCAGCGTAGACGAATGGCTGCTGGTGCACGTAGGTTGGTTCAGCAACAACAGTCTTGGTGTAAGTTGGCTCATGAACGTACTGGACCGAAGGCTGAGCATAGTGCACAGCTGGTTGGGCGTATGCTAGGGTCTTGGTAATTGGAGCAGCGTAGTGGACAGCTGGTTCAGCGTATGATACCGTCTTGGTGACTGGAGCAGCGTAGTGAACAGCTGGTTCGGCATAGGATACCGTCTTGGAAATCTTAGTTGGATGATGCTCACGGGTGATCGAGCTGTAGCTGACGGCCGAGGCTGGGGAGTAGTGTGCCGAGTGGTGATCAGCTTCAAGGTAGCCAGCGCTGGCACAGGCCAGAGTGGCAAACAGGACAACCATCTGTTGGGTTGAGATGAAAGGAAGTTTAGCTTTTCTTTATAAAACATTTATAGGTTACGGGAAACTGATTTCATATTAATACAATTTTATGATTGATTGATTGATTGATTGATAAACCTGAATGATGCGCATCTACGTGCATTTTCTAATACACACAGTATTCAATAAGTCATTTCAGAGGGAGTACTGCAGTCAACTTCAAATCTTTTTCACTATAATTTTGAACATCTGTCTTTGTTGACACTTTTTGATTGGTATTCTTGTGCCTTTGATGTTTCAGAACAGTCCATTTTTGAAAACTTCACGATTCTTCAATCACTTCAAATCAAAAACACTGCAATAATCTCTTATAATTTGCTGCCTAGTTCTCACCTTAAACGCCATTATGTCGAAGGAAACTTGCTCTTGGGATGCGTGCAACGAAACGATATAGTTGAATTAAAGTTAACTGAAGTAATGATACAGTTCGACCGGTTGGGTCCAATATTTATATGAAAAATCTAAACACTTTGGATGCTCTCCGCTCCGATCATTCAACGACGATGATGATGACCGGTTAACGGAAGAAGAGAGGCTGGCCTTCCGAATTGGCACGCTCGCGCTTGGTCGGTCCATGGTTAAATTAAAAAGCAAACACATTGTTACTAGGTAGTAAATCGTACTCCTTCCGATCGTGCGAGGTGGAATAGTTGGACGATTTGATCGGTGGTTGATGGGTGGTGGTGATTCGATTTTATTTCTCTGTTACGAAGGGTTGATCAACCCGATGAGATGATGTATTTTTTGGAGAGTCACTTGGATGTAATGCGAGCGAGGAAGTTGCACTTGTATGTCTTGTGCGAATGCCCAAAGTTTTCATGGGACGTTTTTCGATAGATCTGATACCCGAGCTCATTTACCCTGTATCTGAACGCGTGAGCGGTTGCTTCTGTGATGGATGTTGAGGGCAATTAGTACTTATATCTTAATCGTGTTTTGCTAATTGTCCGCTTTACGTCTATTGTAAGATTTTCATTGCAATGATCCATTTTATATTGTAAGTTACACATAATGAGAGAAGCGTTAGCAATGTACATTTAAATCCACTATCGTGAATGCTTACTCTTGACAGATACGACAGACACTGATGAAGATTGCCTCCCTTAGCTCAGTATGTAATGACGCAGCTACAAAGCAAGACCATGCTGAAGGTGGCTGTGTTCGATTCCCGGTCCGGTCTAGGAATTTTTCGTTTTGGAAAATTTCTCGCCTTCCCTGAGCATAGAGTATGATTGTACTTGTCACACAATTATACTAATGCAAAAATGGTACAGGCATCGAAAGCTCTCAATTAATAACTGTGAAAGTGCATCTAGAACACTTAGTTAAGAGCACGCAATATGCTTAAATGTGATACGCAATAAGCTTGAAATTTGAGGAAAAAGAAAATAATGAAGATTGCACATTGTAGAGGAAATTTATGTATCGGTCTAGGATGACAAACTACATTAGTAGAATTAAATGGAAATTACAATTCCTTCTCTCCCTTTTTACTCTTTATTTGTTTCAAATTCAAATTAAATTACATTTAATTCTAATATAGGCGCTCCAGCTACTAAAGGGTGTATACGATAAAAATGGCACACACATATTTACTCACCAAAATTAAACCGATTATCGGATTTTCTTGAATTTTTTTTAGGGAATGAAACACTGTTAATGAGTTATGATTTACAAAATTTGTTTTATTCAATTTCGCCTCCCATCCCGAATGCCCGCACCTTCCTATTCACTCAACTCATCAAATTTTGTACAACCGCTTTTCCCAGTGTTTTGTTTTTGTTTTTAACCCAAATTTTCTTCAACTTCAGTTCTTTTTTTTATAATACGTTTATTTTTCTAGGCTCATCTGCTGTATCTTTACGGAGCCGATATTCATTTTTTAGATTACAAAATTACTTAAAACTAATGTTAGTAAAGCGAGGACCGATTACTCGCGGCTACCTCGAGGTTAGGGGTAACAAATTGTAATAAATGGATGGCAGGGTAGGGATTGTGAACACAAGGTTTGGAGAGCAATGTGCTCTTGATCTCGAACTAAGCGACACTCTGATGAAAAAGATAAACATGGGGGTACACCGATGGGCAGCTAACAACTTGGGAGAACACAAGATGACATAACAACTACTAAATCCTCAGATCTATCCGTTTTAAAAACACATAAATTAAATTCAAATAGTCAAGATCTCGGCTCGCCAAGACATCTCTAACGGGTATCGCGGGTTGTTTTCCTTGGGCTCTGAGGGATGTGGATAATTTAGATCTGGCAACACGGTGTAAGGTACATGACCAAACAACATGCTCAATATCGTGATAACCACTGCCACACGCACATAAATTGCTGCCTGAGAGACCAATTCGATAGAAGTGCGAGTCTAACGAGCAGTGATTGGATATAAGCCTTGATATAACACGTATAAAGTCGTGGCTCATGTCCAACCCTTTGAACCATGGTTTGTTCGAAACCTGTGGGAGAAAAGAAACACCAGCTCTGTTCTAATAGTTTTGGAATGTTTGCGAAATCCCGCCTTCATAATTGCCCAGAATATTTCAATTGGGCGAAGTTCCGGTGAATTTGGTGGGTTCATATCTTTTGGCACAAAATTGACTCCGTTGGCTCGGTACCACTCCAACTCGTTTCGAGCGTAGTGGCAGGATGCTAGATCAGGCCAAAACAGAGTTGATCCTTTGTGCTTCCTTGTGAATGGCAAGAGGCGCTTCTAGAGTGCCTTAAGATCGCCTGCCAGATCAGGAACTTATTTGCCAATTTCGATAATTTCTTCTTCCGAACATCCTCCGGATCGAACTTAGACTAGGAAACGAAATTTTCTGTCCAAGGAAGTTGACGGAGTTGGCCTTGACGAAAGTTTCGTCATCCATCACGATGCAACACGATTTGGTGAGCAATTTCGTGTAAAGTTTCCGGGCGCGGGTTTTCGCAGTGATGTTTTGCCTTTCACTCCGGTTTGGGGCTTTTTGCACCTTGTAGCAAGTAACTTAGCACGTTTCATGGTTTTCTGCAGAAAACCGACTGATACCTTGGACTTTTTTGCGACATCTCGAAATGACACGTTTGGACGGTTCTTGAACTGTTGCATCACTTTCCTGGCCATTTTACTGTCCATTGGGCCACTTTTACGGCCATTCCCTTCCTTCCTTCGGGCACTCAGACGCTCTTTGAAGGTTCTTATCACACGAGACACAGTTGTACAGCTATCCCAAGTTGCTGAAGCGGTGAGGTACACTCCCAGTGATGCTTTCAATTTTTCGATTACTTCGGTTACAGTAGACCTCGTCGAATCCGCCATCAAGAAGCTGAAATTTTCTAATGCTGCTGGCCCTGACGGGATCCCCTCAAGCATCCTGAAGCGCTTTCGAAGCTGTTCAATATTTCATTACAGCAGGGGGAGTTCCCTACGCGTTGGAAATCGTCATTCATGTTCCCGATCTACAAGAAAGGAGACAAGAGAAACGTCGAAAATTACCGAGGGATCACATCACTCAGTGCCTGCTCTAAAGTTTTCGAAATCATCATCAAAGACGCATTATTCTCTAGCTGCAGAAATTACATTTCTCCTGACCAACACGGTTTTTATCCCAAGAGATCAGTTTCAACAAATCTAGTTCCGTTCATTTCTTTATGTCTTCGGAGTATGAAAGTTGGAGCGCAGGTGGACGTTGTATAGATCTTAAGGCTGCATTCGACCGGGTTGACCACTCCAAACTGCTAGCTAATCTTGCGGCTTCAGCACCTAATCGATACTTTCGAAGAGTGATGCTCAAGAAACTATCTCACGTTGAATGTACATAAATATAATATTATCTCATTTCGTCGCAAGCTGAAACCAGTGGCATTCCTCGTCGAACGTTCGACAGAGCAAGTTTGCTTACGCTACTCTCCCGCCGCCGCAAAAGTGTTTTTCGGAAAAAAAGTGGATTTTTTTTTCTCTCCCCGATCGGAGTTTTTTTTATACACCTTCTGGTGTGCAGTGCCACAGGCGGACATAAACGTTCCCCGGAGGAAGCAACTATCTCAGCCGAGTCTGAAGATTGGATTGTCCAACGGTCCATCAACCACCACCTAGACATCGCATCATACGGCATCAAAAGGTCATCACCCGTATACACCGTACAACGAAGCAGCAGAACTGCAGATACGGTCTATCCAGACCGGACGGTGCCCTTTGTGCTAAGCCACGTGCTGCAACAATAGAGCTATCATCTCTGCTTCACCGCACAGTGGAGTTTGTAAACGCGCCATCCCGGCATATAGAGATAAGTTAATTTTTTTTCTCAGCCTATTTCTTTTTTTTTTTTTTTTTTTGTAAATATTTTTTTTTTGTTTGTTTGGTTTTTGATTTGCTAATATTAAGTAATCCCCCTGCAGCGTTGAATTTCCTTTCTTACAAATTATTATTTTTATTATTATCATTCTCATTC